CTGCCATGTCTCTGTTGCCTAGAATTGCTTTTGCTATTCTAGGTCTCTTCTGGTTCTAAATGAAGGACCATGACGCATGCTGCTGGAATTTCAATTGGGATTGCAATGAATCTATATAGCAGTTTTGGAATCATGGCCATTTTCACTATGTTGATTCTTCCCATCCAGGAGCAAGGGATATCTTTCCATTTCTGGTATCATCTTCAATCTCTCTTTTCAAGTGCTATAGTTTTCAGAGAAGTCTTTGGTTTCTTTTGTTAGGTTGATTCCTAGCTATTTCAGTTTTTTGGATGCTATTATGAAAGGAATTGTTTGTCCTATTTCTTTCTCAGTGAGTCTGTTGTTCCTGTAGAGGAAAGCTATTGATTTTTGTGTGTTGATCTTGTAGTCAGCTACTCTACTGAATTTGGTTATTAAGTCTAGAAGACTTTTTGTGGAGTTCTTGGGGTCTTCTATATAGAGTATCATGTCATCAGCAAATAATGACAATTTAACTTCTTCCTTTCCTACCCTCATTCCTTTTATTTCTTTCTCTTGTCTAATTTCTATGGGTAATGTTTCCAGGACTATATTGAACAAGAGTGGTGATAGTGGACATCCTTGTCTTGTTCCTGATTTTAATGTGAAAGATTTCAGTTTCTTCACATTTAGTATGACATTGGCTGTTGGTTTTTCATACATGGCTTTTATCAGTTTGAGATAAAGACCATCTATTCCAATTTTCTGCAGGATTTCATCATGAATGGATGTTGGATTTTGTCTAAATGCTTTTTTTGCATCTATTGAGGTGATCATATGGTTTTTGTTCTTGGCTCTATTGATAATATGAATTCCATTTATCCATTTGTGTATGTTCAACCATTCCTGCTGTCCTGGAATGAATCCCATTTGGTCAGAGTGTATAATCTTCTTGATGATCTTCTGCATTCTATATGCTAGTATCTTATTAAAGAATTTTACATCTATGTTCATTAGTGAGATTGGTCTGTAATTCTCTTTTTTGGTTGGGTCTTTCTCTGATTTGGGGATTAAGATGATGCTTGGTTATGGAAATGATTTTGGGAGTATTGTTTCCCTTTCAATTTCATTGAGGAATTTAAACAGTAGTGCCAGTAGTGCCTCTCTAAATGTCTTGTTGAATTTGGCATTGAAACAATCAGGGCCCGGGCTTTTCCTAGTTGGTAAGTTATTTTTTTTTCTTAAATTCTTTCATTGGTACATTTTAGGCATACAATACATTTACATTTATCATTGGGTGCTTGTACCTGTATAGGATATATCTTGGTTCTTATGTTTTAGCCATTCCCTGTGGTCCCTTCACCACCTCCACTCTTCCCTATTTATAAAGACTTTGTTTCCATTTTTTCCTTTTCTAATAATTTTTCACTTCTTTCCTTTCCCCTTCTCCTCCCACTTCCCCTATCCCTTTGAACTTCTTCTTTCTATTTTAAATTATAAATTATTTGTTTTAATAACTTTAATCCTTACTTACACTTTCAGTTTCTCACATTAGAGAAACTATTCAGTATATACACATGTGTGTCCTATTTATTTCACTTAGGAGCATGACTTCAATATGCATTCATTCAGCTATAAATGTCTCTAGTTTCTTGTTCTTTTTATGAGTAGTACTTTATGAGTGTTTTATAAAAAAACACATTTTCTTTATTTAATCTCCACTTGATGGGCAATTGGGGTATTTCTGAACTTTAGCTGTTGTAAACTGTGCTGCTATAAACTTGGGTGCTCATATATCACTGTGGTATGATTCTTTTAATTCTTTTGGAGAGATATCCAGCAGAGGAATAGCTGGGTCAAATGGGACCTCTAGTCCTAGTTCTTAGAGGTATCTCCATAATGATTTCCACAGTGGTTGCACCAGTCAACACTCCCACCAGCAGTGAAGTAGTCTTCCTCTTTCCCCACAGCCCCACCAGCATTTGTTATTGGTTGATTTCTTGATAGCAGGCATTCTTTCTGGGGTGAGGTAGAATCTCAGTGTTGTTTTCATCTTCATCTTTCAAATGACCAGTGATGTTGAACATTTTTTTCGTATGTTTATTTGCTGTTTTTACTTCTTTGTCTGAGAAATGTCTGTTCATTTCAGATGCCCAGTTTTGGATTGGGTCTTTATATTGGGAGGTCTGATTTTTAAAAGATATTTATGTATTCTAGATAGTAGTTCTTTGTCTGAGGAACAGCTGATAGTTTTTTTCGCACATTGTAGGTTGTCTTTTAGCTCTGTTGGTGGTTTCTCTTGCAGTGCAGGAAATTTTTAGTGAAATGAGATCCCAGTTGTTAACTCTTTATGCTCATTCCCATGCTACTGAGGTTTTTTTCATAATGTCTTTTCCTATGCCATCGCCTTTAATAGTTCTACCTAAATTATCTTCCAATAAGTTTAGTGCTTCTGTTTTAATATTTAGATCTTTGATCCACTTTGATTTTCATTTAGGGCATGGTGAAAGATAGGGGTCTAGGTTTAATCTTTGGTAGACAGAAATTCAGTTTTTCCAGTGCCATTTATTATGGAGGCTACCTTTCCTCCAATTAGGGTGGTTGACTCCTTTGTCAAAGATGAGGTGGCTGAGTATGTCTTGAGTTTTTCTGCATCTTCTAATCTATTCCACTGATCCTCAGGTCTGTTGCTTTGCCAGTTCCATGCTGTTTTTATCACAGTGGTATTGTTGTATACTTTGATGTTGGAGATTGTGATACCGCTGTCATGTCTTTGTTGCCTAGACTTGCTTTTGTTATTCTAGGTCTCTTCTGTTTCCAAATGAATTTTTGGATGGTTTTTTCTAGTTCTGTGAAATATACTGCTAGGAGTTCAATTGGTATTCCATCGAATCTATATAGCAGTTTCAGAAGTATGGCCATCTTTTACTATATTGTTTTTTCCTACCCAGGAGCAAGGGACATCTTTCCATTTTCTTGTATCATCTTCAATCTCTTTTTCAGAGTGCTGTAGTTTTCATTTTTTGGATGCCATTGCAAAAGAAAAATTTCCCCCAATTTCTCTCTCAGTGAGTCTGTTATTTGTGTCCCAGAAGGCTACTGGTTGTTGAACATTGACCTTGTATCCAGCAACTCTGCTGAATCTGTCAATTAAGTCCAGAAGTCTTTTGCAGAACTTTTTGGGTCTTCTATGTAGAGAATCATGTCATCAGCAAATAATGACAATTTAACTTCTTCCTTTCCGATCTTTATTTCTTTTATTTCTTTCTCTTTTCTAATTGCTGTGGCTAATGTTTCCCGAACAATATTGAAGAGAAGTGGTGATAGCGGGGATCCTTGTCTTGTTCCTGATTTTAGCAAGAAAGATTTCAGTTTTTGACCATTCAGTATGATGTTGGATGTTGGTTTTTCATAGATAGCCTTAATCAGGTTGAGATAAAGACCATCTATTCCAATTTTCTGTAGGGTTTTTATTACTAATGAATGCTGGATTTTGTCTAATGCTTTTTCTGCATCTAGTGAGATGATCATATGGTTTTTGTTCTTGACTCTGTGAATACAGTGTGTTACATTTATTGATTTGCATATGTTGAACCATCCTTGCATCCCTGGAATGAATTCCACTTGGTTATGGTGTATGATCTTCTTGATGATCATCTGTATTCTGTTTTCCAGTATCTTATTGAGGAGTTTTGCATCTATGTTTATTAGGGAGATTGACCTGTAGTTCTCTTTTTTGGTTAGCTCTTTCTCTCCTTTTGGAATCAAAGTGATGCTTGCTTCCAGGAATGAATTTGAGAGTATTGCTTCAGTTTCATTTTCATTAAAGAATTTGATGATTAGTGGCATGTGTACTTCCCTAATTTTCTTGTAGAAATCAGAAGTGAAGGCTTCAGGACCTGGGCTTTTCTTTGTAAATTTTTAATTACCTTTTCAATTTCACTGATTGAAATTGGGGTGTTTAGAATTTTTATATGTTCTTTTCTCAACTTTGGTAATTCATATGTATCTTGGAATTTGCCCATTTTTTTCTGTTTTCAATTATATTGGAGTACAGTTCTCAAAGTAGGTATTGATGATGCTCTGGATTCCTGCTGGATCTGTTTGTGATCTCACTTGTTTTGTTCCTAATTGCAAAGAATTGAGCCTTTTCTTTCCTTTTTTTGATAAGTTTGGGCAAGAGTTTGTGAATATTTTTGATTCTTTTGAAGAACCAACTCTCTGATATATTGATTTTTAGTATCATTCTCTTAGTCTCCATTGCACTGATTTTTGCTCTGATCTTTACAATTTCCTCCCTAGTATAAGCTTTGTGCTTTTGTTGCTCTTCTTTTTGAGGAGCTTGAGGTTCAGGATTAGGTTGTTTATTTTAGTTTGTTCGGTTTTCCTAGTACAAACATTCACTGCTATGAATTTCCCTCATAGAACTGCTTTCATTGTTTCCCATAGATTCCTGTATATTGTATTGGCATTGTCATTTAATTGTAGAATCTGTGTAATTTCTTCTTTAATTTTCTTTGTGACCTATTGATTTTTCAGGAGTGTTTTATTCAATTTCCACTTGTTTATGAATTTCTTGCTGTTTCTTATGCTATTTATCTCCAATTTAATTGCACCATAGTCTGATAATATGCAGGAATAATTTCAATTCCTTTTTATGTACTTAAACATGTTCTATGAGCTAGCAAGTGGTCTCTTTGAAGAATGACCTGTGTCCAGCTGAAAAGAATGTGCATTCTGATTTTCTGTGATGGAAGACTATGTAGACATCCATTAAGTCTATTTGTTCAAAATTTTGGCTCAGTTCTAGTGTTTCATTGGTGATTTTCTGTCTAGAAGATTTGTTGATTTGTGACAGTGGGGTATGGAGTTCCCCCGCTACAATTATATTAGTGCTTATTTGGTTTTTCTTGTCCATTAGTATTTGTTTTATATAGTTTTGGGCATTAGTATTTGGTGCATATATATTTATGATTGTCACCTCTTCCTCTTGGATTGTTCCCTTTACAAGGATATAATGACCTTCTTTGCCTGTCTGAATTAGTTTTGTTTTGAAATCTAGATTGTCTGCAAGTGAGTTAGCTACTTCTGTTTTTCTTGAGGTTCCTATGATGTGCAGAACTGTTTTCCATCCTTTCCCCACAGTCTATGAAATTCTTTTTGAATTAAGTGTGTTTCTTGTATACACCATATTGTTGTATCTTGCTTCTGGACTCATTCTGGCATTGTATCTCTTTTGATTGTTGAATTGAGGCTATTGACATTGATGGATATAACTGATATGTGTTGACTTATCCTTGTCATATTATTTTCCTGTTGTTGGCTCTTTTATTTATTAATTTATATCAAAAAAATTTAACTAATTTTATTGGTACATGTTAGGTATACAATATAATGACATTCATCATTGGAAATTTGCATATTTACATAATCTCTCTTTGTTCTTATTTTTTTCCCATTCACCTGCCCTCCGTGCAACCCCTCCATCCTGCCTTATTTACAAAGACTTTGCTTCCATTTTTTTCTCTTTTATTTTTTTGTTTCCCCCCACCCTTTCCTTTTAATTTCTTGTCTTGTCTGATGGCTTTGTTCTCTTTGGCCTCATAGAGTTGTGACCCTTATTGTTTTTTTCTTGGATATTGTTTAGAATTGTTTGAGGTGCTGATTTGGTATTCATGAAGTTTCTCAGGTGTTCATTATTGAGAATATATCTTATTTCCATATCAATTTTGAAACATAGTTTTACAGGATACATCAGTCTAGCTTGGAGGTTGTTTTCTTTTAGGGCTTGAAATACCTCACTCCAGGCTCTCCTTGACTTGAGGATTTGTGTTGAAAAGTCTGCTGTGATTCTGATGGTCTTTCCTTTGTATGTGATTTGTTTCCTTTCTTTAACTATTTGTAGGATTTTGTTCTGCTGGGTTTCTGGAATGTTGACTATTATATGTCTAGGTGTAGATTTCTTTTGATGAAGGCTAGTTGAAGTCCTATATGACTCACTTATCTGTATGTCAAATTTTTTTCGTCTGCTTGGGAAGTTTTCTGCCATTCCTTTTGTGATCAGCTTTTTAAAATTTTATTTGTATTTTCTCCTCTTTTTTCATGGACTCCTATCAGACTTTTGTTATTCTTCTTTATATCACCTAGCAGCTGGTGGATTGATTTCTCATTTTCCCTTACTATTTTCATTAAATGTGTCTTTTCATCATCAGTAACCACATTCCTGTCTTCTATATCTGATATTCTTTCTTCACATTGGCTCTTTCTGCTGTGAATACTTTCAATAGAGTTTTAATCTCCTGGTTATCTGTGTCTATTTCATGGATTCCATTTTTTCCCATGTTGGACATTCATGGTTTCTGTTTCTTTCCTATGCTGGGCATTCATGGCTTCCATTATGATTCTGAGCTCATCTACTTTTTTTTTTTATATGTTTGTGTTCTAGAGTCTCTAATCATGTCTTTCATTCTGCTCATCATCTCTGTATTTATCTCAGAAATTATTTCTGTTTTGAGTTTTTCTAGAGCTTCATTCATCTGTTTTGTTACTTCTTGGGATATCAGTTCATGGTGTTCAGGTGATTGATTATCAGATTTTCCCACCTTGTTGCCCCAGAATTTGCCTTTGGTGATCTGGAAGTCTGGGTTTTCACCTTGTTTAGGTGTCTTCTCTTTCTATTTTTGTTTTCAGTACTATTTTTGATTTAATTCCTGGATTGATACTTCAAATTTGCTTATTGTGAGTATCTTTATTGCTTGTATTTAGAAACCTTATGGAATGATTGCTTCTCAGAGGTGTCTTCCAGATATGGTTCATTTTTTGCTTTTGAGTCTCTAATGAGTCTTAGGCATCTCATTTCCAGTGTACTAGGAAGGACAATTGATTAGATCAATTATGACAACTTAACCCAAGTGATACAATCAGCATCAACAATAGCATCAAACATGTTACAAATGATAATTTGTGGTAGCTATTAATCTGTCACCATTAACCATGAGAACTAGGTGAAAATCAAAGGCTAGCCAAAAATGTGTTTGTAGTAAATAAACCCTTCAATATAGCAAATTTACCTTTCAGGATGAGGAAGTAGAAGTTATTGGGGAGGGCAGTATAGAGAGATACAAGGAGAGGGAAAGGTTAGAAGTGAGGCTAGAGGACACAGGAAGGTCATTCACCATTTGGGAAACTGTAGAGGACAAGAAGAAAAAGAGTAAAGGAACAAAGATGAGAATGGAAGAAGCTAAGAACAATAGGGAAACTGGAAGCTATATTCACTTTCCTATAAAAATAATGATGATTGCGAGAAGGAAAGAGAGAAAAAAATCCTAAACAGGACAAGAAAAAGAAGAAAATGGGAAAGAAATGAAGAACAGGAAGGGAGAGAGAGAAAAAGAAGAAAAGAAAGAAAAAAAGGGCCTCCTTCATGGTATGACTCTGCTGTCACAATAGACACCATGGGCTGTGGTGTGCAGATCTAAGTGGATTAGTCTCAGCAAGCCAGCCATATTCCACTGAGATTCAGGCTGATTTCTTGCTGCAAGGCCCCAGTTGAGCTCCCTGACTTCCTGCAGGATTGAACTCTTCAAGTTTCTGCATATTTCAGTTGCCCTTCCCCAGAAGTGAGTCCAATTCCTATGGGAGGTGCTTATCCCACCAACTTACCAACCACAGTGGTCCAGTGTGCCTTTATTGCAGAGCTTTTCTTCACTTTCCCAGTGGGCTTCAATTTTTCATCAAGGAGCCTCAGAGAGGCCCTCTCCATATTCTTTACTTCTGCTCTATCTTCTGGAGCTCATAACCATGTCCTTTATGGCCCTGGATGCCTCTGTAGTGCAGATGGAGATACCAGCTCAGTCTGCACAGAGGGCAGGGGCACGTCTTCTGTGGGATGGTTCCAGGGAAGGGTGAGGCAGTCCTGGGATCTCCACATGATGATACTGGATGCTGGGGTGGCAGTCTGTGGTGGTGGGTCCTCTGTGTGAAAGGCACTGGGTGCCAGGGAAGCAGTCTGAGTGGTATTATTATATAGCCATATTTTTAATAACTATATTCCTACAGTGTATATTTCCTGGATTTGAGATGAAGTATGAGGGTATCTAGAAATATCTCATCATCCTGTTTGGTCAGAACTCTGTGGGTTCTAATCTCATGAAAACATTGTATTTTTATTGGTGAACATTTGGCATATTTTAATTTGTGTATTTTATTGTATTTTTATTGATTCTAAAATTAAAGATATAAAAGTGCTGGGGATTTAGCTCAGTGGTTCTGCCACCTGCCTTGCAAGTGCAAGGTCCCAAGGTTGATCCCTGGTATGAAAAAAAGAGTCAATAAAATTAAAGCTATAAAGACAATTAAAAATTCTGTCCAGGTACTTTTTTGGAATATTTAAATGGGGGAGGGGGAAGGGATGGGAGGGAAAAGGGATGGAAAGAGGAATGAAGATGTGTTATGTACACATAAGGAGAAAATATTATGTATAGCAAACATGTATTAATAAAGAAGTAAAAAAAACTTTAGCATAGGAAAAATATACATGTATTCTATTAAAATCTGTTTCTGTGGTCATGAAAATAGTTCAGTGTATGATGTCTGGCCCATACCTCAGTAACAACTGGTATATTTGATAGAGATAAAAGTACAAAACTCTTAGAAATGTAGGAAAAATATAGAATAAATAATTTTTGTAGTGAGCTTATTGTAATGTGAACCAATTATACCATATAAATAACTTATTGAACAGGAGTGGTTTGCAATCACTTAAGGATACAAAGAGAAAACTGTAACAAAGAATGATGGTAAGTGTAAAAAAGCCCCCAAAAATTTGGTGTAAGGATAGACAATAAGCCCAATTAGTTAATCACAGGTATTGAGATGATCTCAATTTATTTTTTTTAAAGTTATGTTAAGGTTTGATTACATGTGAAATCATTTCTTGATTTTTGCAGTGTATGAGTATAATATTTCATTATTGATAAATATAAACTTGATAAACTTTCTTTTCTAGAAAACAAAGGATAAAAACCCTGCAGATATAGCTTATGGAAGGCTTTTATTTTTTTAATGAAAACTTGGTTCCTCCACATTAGCAAATCCTGTACTTCTTTAAGAACAGTGAAATTCTTTTGATTGAGTCCTTGAAGGCCTGTTTTACTTGCTTATTCCTCAGTGTGTAAATGAAAGGGTTCAGCATAGGAGCAATGGAAGTAGTGAGGACTGTCACACCCTTGTTAATGGCCACTGATTCCTTTGCTGAAGGCTTAACATAGACAAAGATACAGCTGCCATAGGTGATGGAAATCACAATCATGTGGGATGAGCAGGTAGAAAATGCCTTTTTCCTTTGCTGGATGGAAGGAAACTGTAGAATGGTCTTAATGATATATATGTAGGATTGAACTACACATACAAGGGTCATTATGAAGGTCAACACAGCACTGACTATGACCATCTGCTCAATGAGCCATGTTTCTGAGCATGATATTTTTAGGAGGGGGGCTGCATCACAGATAAAATGGTCAATAACATTAGAGTCACAGAATTTCAGATTTATGCCCAGGCTAAGAGGAGGGAGTATGACCACCAAGCCAGCTATCCAGCAACAAAGGATGAGCCTTCTACAGACCCTGCTGTTCATGATGGTCACATAATGCAGAGGTTTGCAGATGGCCACATATCGGTCATAGGACATGGTGGCCAGGAGATAAAATTCTGTTACACCTAAAAGATCAGTAAAAAATATTTGAATGATACAATTTTCATATGTGATTGTCATGTCACCTGTTGATATGTGGTACAAGTATCTGGGAATACAAGCAGATGTAAATGAGATTTCTAAGAAGGAGAAGTTTTGTAGGAAGAAATACATGGCAGTTTTAAGGTGTGAATTGGTGAAGGTGAGAGAGATGATTGTGAGGTTCCCAGTTATACTCAAAATGTAGGTGAGAATAAAAAAGATGAAAATCACGACCTTCAGTTGTGGGTCATTGGTCAGTCCCAGCAGGATAAATGTAGTCATTGTATGGTTTCTCATAATTGGATCCTTACTTCTATTCTCTCTGCATCTATAATTCAGAGATATTTGCTATGGGGAGAATGGTGTTGACATCACGTAGCAATTCTATGGCTCAAAAATGTATAAAAAATGTATCTGCAAAAATTTTTCTTTGTTTTTAAGCAATATTGTTACATATACCATAGGTTCTGCAGTGGCCTTCTTTTTGTAATTTTAAGAGATATTTAAAAAATCAGATTACTTTATTCATATCATACTTTAATTCCTTTTTCATCACTTTTCATTTCCAATTAATCTTTTGTATTTTTCTTTAACTGAAGTTGAATTCTGCAGCCACGACTTTTACTTCTTGAGCATTTTAATGCCTATATATATATATGGGTTGTTCACTGATAAACTACAAAAATAACCAATATTCTCTTCAGTTTCTCTGTAGGCTCCAATTCCCCCATTAGATCCTTCCTGGGTCGCAGTGATCTATACTAATTAAAAATTAAAAGTTAAAAAATAAGCAATATTGTGGAGCCCACTGTAACAGAATTTTATATCCATTAGGAAATTAACAACTAGAATATATGAGGCACTCAAAAACTTTAATGACAAAAGCAAAGTAATTCAATTTAATAATTGGCAAAGTAACTGAATAGGAATTTCTTAAAAGAAGAAATACAAATGGCTAACAAATACATGATAAGTTTTGAATATGGTTAACCACCAAGAAAATGCTAATAAAACTCCGATGAAATATCATCTCATCTCATTTAGAATATTTACTGTAAAAAAAATCCCCAAAATAATGAATGGTGGAGAGGACATGGAGAAAAAAGTACTCTTATATGCTATTAATAGGAATGTAAACTAAAAGAGCCATTCTGGAGAGAAGTATAGAGGTTCTTCAAAAAAACATGAAATAACATTACTGTATGTTCCAGTTATGTCAGTTTTGAGAAAAGATCCAAAAGAAATTAGATCAACATAACCAAGAATACCATATATCCAAGATTGGCATCAGCCTAGGTGTCCATCAACAGATGATGGATTAAGAATATATGGTACAGTTGCACATGGAATGTTAGCCATAAAGAAGAATGAAATCCTGTCATTTGCACCAAAATGACAGAACTAGAGGACTTTATGTTGTTGGGAGAAATGTTACATAATTTTAGGGAAAAATCATTTGGTTAGCCTAATTCTCCTGCCTACAGCCCAGCTATGGAATTCCAAAACATAATTCCATTTTGGCCTCTGGTCACAACTGAGACCTCAATGATCCAGTGATGCTGTGATGCTCCCGGACAAGATTACACCAGTTGAAGACATCCTGGGAGGAACAAAATCTTCATCTACTCAGTTCCTCATTGTTCTTGGATTGTTACACTGTGTTTATGCCAATGTACTGAACTCTCTGCAAGTTATTTGTTACATCTTGTTTCTCCCAATGTACTGAATAAAAGGTGTGGTAAGCTGGGGGCTTTCGTCTTTGCTGCCCAGAGCAGCACTGATCAGACCCAAAGCTCAGCTTCTTCTGAAAGTCTCATTTTTCTACCTTTCCTGTAACTCACCTTGTGCTGCCATGGCTCGCAGGAGACTAGGACTTACTGCAGAGGTTCTAGTAATGTCCCCTTTTCCTGTTACCTACATTATGTTAAACAAAATAAACCAGACTCAGAAAGAGAAGTTCTGCATATTCTCTTTCATTTGCAGAAGTTAAAAAGAGTTGACCTGAGTGCAGAAAAGTGATTCCTAGAGGTTGGAAAGGGTGTGTGGGGAATACAGGGGAGAAATGGACAAAGAGAATTTGGATTTGACTTGTGCACGATATACATGAGTGGAAACACCACACAGAACTCATTAGTGTGTACAATTAAAACATATTAACCAAGAATAAATAAAATAATTACAAAAATTAAAGAAAAACATCTTGAATTCTGGCAGTATTCGTATTTTTGAACTTCTGTTTTCTAGGAACAATTTTCTTGTTTTCTCTTTCTCCTGTCTCTCTCTCTCATGACTACTTTCTTTTCAAAATTTATGTTCATTGCCTACTGCTGTGTAGCACAGAGACTGTGTTTTGATGAAAAATTTGTTGTTTAGAATGTTAGGGTATGTTGGGTGTGGCATGTATAGGACTGTATGAAACAATCACAATTTTTAAAAATTTTCGACCACTTGGCTCAGGTTGAGAGACCAACTTGGTATATTGTGATACCAGGGTTGTTAAGCACACAGAAAATCAGGCTTAAAATACCATCACGTTCTGAAGCACTGTTTGCTTTTGCTGAGATTCAGTTTTATCAGCTAAAAATGGAAATAAAATAGTATGCTTTATATGCTAATTTTGAAAAACTAAATTAGTTTTTGTATATAATGATCTATATTTTATCTCAAACTCTGTATTTATATCTATTTTAGAAAAGTACCTAGCTCATAATAACATTCCAGCGTGCTATCAATGTGAATTTCCTTTTGATAGTCACCATTCATTAATTTTTTACCATATTGCAAATCACATTTTTATCCCATAATTCTAATGAAAGAGTTTTTGCCCTAATTTATTAAAACCTCAGTTTTTGCTATGAAGTAGTAGATGAATTACTTTTGACCACACATGATTCATAACATTCTCTCATAACTTAACACTGCACAGATATTTTCCCTCCCATTTAAAAAATTTCTAATTTCTGCTGTTTCTTTTCATGATGATCTTTTCATGTTGTATGTCTCAGTTTCTCCTCTTAGATACATTTAACTCAGCAACTATACCATTGGTAGATATTTTATTGAACTCCTAATTGCTTAATTTCCAAAAATAATTGCTCTTATGAATTTCGGAAATGTAGTCAAATACAGCTCAAACATAAAGTTATCCATATTTTCCTCCTACTTTTCCCCCTGAATTTTTTAAAATAATCAAACAAATAGGTTTGGCCAAGTATTGAGCTAATTGCTTTACACAGATTATCTTTGAGGACTAAGTTTCCTTCTGACAATTTTTCATTATCTCTGTTCTATAAGCCACAGTTGCACTTGGTATGTAAACATGAGTACTTGGTCAGTGATGTTTTAGAGTAAGATTTATTCTTCTGGGATCCAAATGAAACTTGGGGTATAGGGTAAAGTCTCATCCAGAGAAACTAGTTTTTACTTCTATCTTAGCACTATTCTAAGAATCTACATTGTTTTGTTGTTAAATAAAAGTTATTTAATTAGAATATCATGTATAAATAATGCAGTTGCAGATACATGTTTAATATCTAAGAAGTTTACTAGCAAAATTTTTCCACATGAATTGTTTTTATTTGAAATGTATCCAAAACATGCCGGAATTTTAAATTTACTTGGTAATTTTGTTATATTCTAAAACTTTGACAGGTTTGGTTTTGGTATTTGTTTTTGCTAGTGAAGGAAATTTTTTCATGAAAAAGCAAAACTCTGTTTATATCCATTGCCTTCTCTCCTGAAAAAAACTAATACTTTGTCCTTCTGACTTGACTACTAGTCAGAGGAATAGCTGTATGTTCTTTTGCTTTGCTGATGCATCACTCTGTAGAGTATCAAAACTGGAAGCCCAGGGACTTTGCAGTTCTAAATTTGTGGAAGTATCTTCTCTACCATTTTTCAATATGAATTATGTACTATAAAAACATAAAATATTTTGAAATTTGAATGAGTGTTTCCCCAAAAGAAATTTATCCTGGATATTCCAGGTTATTATTATTGTACAGTTTCACTATATGTATGCTTTAACATATTTCTTGGCTACTGAGATGAAGGCCAGCTCAGATCATGTGTAGAAGTTCTAGAGTTAAGTCTCAGGAATCATAGCATCATAGAGAAAGGGCATGGACTTCTCATGGGTTGCTTCAGAATTAGGATGATCCCATGGAGTGCAAGTCCACCCCAACCTTTGCAACAGGTCATCTCAAGATGCTGTGAAAGAACTTTTCTGCAGCTACCTTCCTTCCTGCATCTACTTCTTCTCAATGTATAGAGATCTTTGCTTTTCTGTTGTGACTAATACAGGCCTACTGAGTGAGATATACAAAGTTATAAAATCACTTTTTTCTTTTAGTCATTAAAAGTGCACTTCCATGAGATCTCTGATATTATAATGCAAGTGTTAAGTAATTGATCTGAACAATGTTACATGATTATTGATTATATTACATTTAAAAGATTTAAAATTTGATTTCTGAAGTGATATGTTGTCAAAGTTGTTGTCAAATTATTTTTTGTTGGGGTTATGGTTATTCTTCACCTTGCTCAAATTATACCTTTACATGGCCTCATTCACACCTTCATATGGTCCTCATATGGTTACTTCTTCATAAGGCTTACTTATTCTTGTGTAAAAATTATCACATCAATGAATTCAAATTAGGAGTAATGTATTTTATAAATAACATTTCATTAATATACATATTAAAACTCACAAATCTCAGGTTTATACAATTGGGAAAAATCTACGTAAAAATCTATCTATATCCCATAGACAAATATAATCTTGTTTTACAGAAAGAATATAACTGAAATGACAGAATTTATTTTACTTACACTTTTAGCAGGCATTTAGAGTCTCCCTCCAGGAGCTATTCTTATAGCTACAAACTTGAAAATGAAGAAAAATCAAAAGTCTGATTGAGAATGTTTTTATCACTAGCTCACATTTACAGAAACCTTGAGTTACTTGAATTTTATTTATCTTCTATTGAGTAAACTTCCACATTGATAGATGTGTTGTTACATGCCCAGGAGACATTTTCTTTTATCTTCCATTACTGAAAAGGAATGCTAGTAAAAAGGAATTCCTGGTAGCTTTGAAGGAGTTGTTGTTCTGAACTGTCTTTGCTCAGAAAGATTTTTGCCAATCTCAGACTCGAGGTTGATATTGTGTTAAATGTGCAACACAGTTAATAAACAAAAGGACCTTGATGGTACAGATTTGAAAATTACTAATAAACCTTCTGTGTAATGGACTTTGGGGAAAAAAGCCCACAGCAAACCTAACATGTTAACAG